GCCATAATGCCTGGCTATTTTTGGTTGCAGCCGTCATTGTTATTTGGCAGGCCTGGGCTGGATTCGAACCCGCCACCTAAGGTGTATGTGGCTGGCGCCTTAGCCACTTGATTCACAGGTGCCGAGCCTATTTTTCTTTTCTAAAAAACTTATTTTTTCTGACTATCAGAAGGAACCTCTCTACATAGGTATCATATCTCTGGAGGTGGTAGTTACTTCTATGGAAAGAGAACACAGAGTTGCGCAGCGCCTGTGGCTCAAAGGAATAAGGCACTGGTCCCATATGCCTGAGGTGGTGGGTTCAAACCCAGCCCCGGTCAAAAACTGCAAAAAAAAAAAAAAAAAGAAAGAGAACACAGAGTAAACATAATAACATTATTAACTGTGTGCCAGGCCTTGTGTTAAATATTTCACGTTCACTGTTTTAATTCAGTCCTTCCAAGTTCCTGATGAAACCTCTATCTTGTACATGAGGAAAAAGAGACCAAAGAGTTTGCTCCAGAGCTAACTAGCAAGTGGTGCAACTTCATCTCCCCCCAGGTATGACAGAATCTATATTCTCCACTGCCCCGGGAGCCTTTTCTTTCAGTTAAAAAAAAAGAGTGACAGGAAGATATTTGGTATGTCCTTAATTGCCCTGAACACAGCTTCTTCCTCGGTGACTCAGATGAAACAATACCTTTTTCTTTTCTTTTTTTTTTTTCTGAGACAGCATCTCACTATGTTGCCCTTAGTAGAGTGCCATGGTGTCACAGTTCATAGCAACCTCCAACTCTTAGGCTAAAGCAATTCTCTTGCCTCAGCCTCCAAGTAGCTGGGACTATAGGTGCCTACCACAACACCCTGCTATTTCTTTTGTTGTAGTTGTCACTGTTGTTTGGCAGGCCCAAACTGGGTTCGAACCCACCAGCCTCAGTGTATGTGGCCACTGCCCTAACCACTGACCTATGGGCGCCGAGCCAAATGAAACAAAATCTTAAACAGGTGAATATTCACATCTATCAAGAACCAACTGTAGGGGTGGTGCCTGTGGCTCAGTGAGTAGGGTATCAGCCCCACGTACCAAGGCTGAGTTCGAGCCCAGCCCTGGCCAAACTGCAACAACAAAAAAATCAACAAAAAAAATAAAGAACTAACTGTAGGCTTGATGCCTGTGGCTCAAGCAGCTAAGGCACCAGCCACATACACCTGAGCTGGCAGGTTCGAATCCAGCCCAGGCCGGCCAAACAACGACGACAGCTGCAACCAAAAATAGCTGGGCATAGTGGCAGGTGCCTGTAGTCCCAGCTACTGGGGAGGCTGAGGCAGGAGAATTGCTTGAGCCCAGGAGTTGGAGGTTGCGGTGAGCTGTGATGCCACAGCACTTTATCCAGGGTGACACCTTGAGGCTCTGTCTCAAAAAAAAATAAAAGAACCAACTGTATTGTATAGTCATTATGGATTAAAGAATCTTTCTAACTAACATATCCTGACAGCTTGGAGGAGCAAGTTAGCATCATTATTTAGTTCTGTGGACCTTTCTCATTATAGATACTCAACATACACTGACCAAGTGTTTGATTTAACCAATCCAGCCTTAAAACAGGGCAAGACAAGAGTTAAAGGTTGCTGTGAGCTATGACATCATAGCTCTCTACTGAGGGAGACATAAGGAGACTCTGTCTCAGAAAATACTCCAAGAAACAGGGGCAAGATCTATCTTGGGCAAGATGCCTCTTGCCAGTTGATAGCCACTACACAAACAAAAGCTTGTTCAGATGCAATACTGCTAATTTTGAAAACCTTAGGTAGTAAGTGGTAAAATGTTTATAAAATCCCAAACTCTAGCCATAGAAGGTTGAAGTCCATTAGGACAGACTATAGCAAGGAGGGATGCAGACAGGAATGAACAGGTACATGTAACTCTGGATTTTTTTTTTTTTTTTTGAGCCAGAGTCTCATTATGTCACCCTTGGTAGAGTGCTATGGTGTCACAGCTTACAGCAACCTCCAGCTCTTGGGCTTAAGTGATTCTGTTGCTTCAGCCTCCCAAGTAGCTGGGACTACAGGCGCCTGCCACAATAACTGGCTATTTTTGTTGTTGTTGTTACAGTTGTCATTGTTGTTTAGCTGGCCTAGGCCAGCATGTAGGCCCCAGTGTATATGGCTAGTGCCCTAACCATTGAGCTACAGGCACCAAGCCTTGTCTTAGTTTTTCTTTTTCTTTAGAGACAGAGTCTCACTTTGTTGCCCTCAGTAGAGTGCTGTAGTGTCCTAGCTCACAGCAACCTCAAACTCTTGGGCTCAAGGATTCTCTTGGCTCAGCCTCCCAAGTAGCTAAGACTATAGGTGCCCAGCACAATGCCTGGCTTTTTTTAGAGATGTGGTCTCACTCTACCTCAGTCTGGTCTTGAACTCACGAGCTCTGACTGTTGCAGGAGGATGAGGCCCAACAGAGAGAAAGAGCACCCAAACACCATAGTTATAAGAGGAAGGGCTTTATTCATCAGCTGGGAGCTTATGGCATAGAAGATTTCAAATGGCTGTGCTCTCAGAGTGGCTTGGTCTTTCCCTTTTTATTGACAGTCAAAAAGTTCCACCCCACAGGTACCTTTCCCATTGGCCAGTTTGAATCAAGCAGGAGATGCTACTCCAGCCCCTGCAGAACTACAGGATTTCACAGAACTTGGAAATTTCCAAGTTCCAGGAAGTTAAGCCTATAAATTCCCAAGAGCTGAGTC